GGCAACCTGTTGCAGGAAAAATATGCCTCGTCAGTCATGTATCGAAAGATACATGATCGCCTAAGTGTATATCACTCATGGTACATTGAACCAATTTTCAATTTTCTTTCTCATTCCAATGTCAACGAAGAACTGAGAAAATAATTTTGTGTTTGCAATGATTGATTTTTTACGGCTTATCAACCCTTTGTGGAGTATTTAAAGCCCAAACATATTTCGAATTTTATTTTACAGTACCCAGTGTTTCTAAGTGGTCCATCATCTAACTACTGACATGTTTGCAATGAAGAGAGCAAAAACAAAAAAACAAAAATTTATTATCCGTCTATCACCTACAATACACATCTTACAGTTAAATCATCATTATTATTATTATTATTATTATTCCCTTGAGTCACACTAAATTCGACTGGTTCTGACCGGTAATTGACGATCAAATATCACATGATTATTGTTGGTGAATTTTTACTGGATAATCAACAGTTGACATCCTGAGTATAATAAATATCCCAGATGCCTGATATGGTGTGATGCATAACAAGCCAGTCTAGTACACCATTGCTACTTTAATCCTGTGCCAGAATAAGTTTACCTAATAGCCATTTATTAGGAATCCTGTCATAGGTCAATTATGAATAAAATAATTTGTTCTAGTTGTTAGTATCCTTAGTTCGAGCCTCACCAGATGCTCCACTATTGCATCTCTGTGTCATACTTATCTAAGTTTAATAAATATTTTTTCAGGATTTCTATTATAATAGCAGACATTAAAACTCTCTACTCTGTCGACAGTGCCATGAGACTGTCGGTTTTGAGCTCATTGTCCTGGTTTCCCGGTTCTCTCGATTAACTCTTGAGCGTTGGTTCTTTTTCTAATTAAATTGTCGAGTATTCTTTCACTAAAAGAGGTGAAGAGTGAAAATAATTCCTATTCACTCTGCATGTTTTGAAAATCTTTTCTCTGTTTCGGGACAAGATTTGATTAAATTAATACCGAGATAACATTTTTTGATAACTGATTTACAGTATCAGGTTTTGTTTACAAGTGAAACATTGGCCTGAAATGGGTTGCTCCAAAATCACGCCTCCTTTGGAAATAACGACTGTGAATTCGTAAAATAATTCTTTAGAATTAATATTTTCGGGTTCTGTTTGAAATCCTTCTGTTTCTGTCTGTTGTGGGGGAAATCTCGCTGTTTTTCTGAAGTTAGTTCTAAATCTCCAGGTTCTAAGATTTTTAGATGGACAAAGTTAGTTCTCCACTCTGTTATTAATGCCGCCTGCTTGATTCACTCTGTGTACTTTACGACTGCGGCCTTGTGTCAGACTAATCTTTGTGAATGTTTGTCGCATATTTTTGGGTGGTGATAAGCAGGTTACTTTCACAGATCATTGCTCAGGAGTTCAATGCTCACTATGTAAGCAGATGACGCTAAATCTAATAACGATATACAAAGAGAGTTATCAAACAATATTGATGCTGATTTTGAAAACCATTTAAGTCCGGAAGATGCAAAGTAACCTTGCTATTATTCTGCTATCAGTTCTGATTTCTCGTTTTGCTGTAAATACTTCATCACCTTGAGGCAGGCTTGCTTGTGTCCACTTTCACCTTTGTGAATAAAGGTTGCGGACAACTACAGAAGAGAGGGCTTTGTGCCAAATATTTCTCTGAGAAACTGAAGAAACCAGGCATCTATAAATGAATTCTTCATTCAGTTGAGATCCTTTCTCCTTTGATCTCTAGCCCACCATATTAGCGTTCTTTCTTTCAACACAACAGGACAATGGACTGTTAGAGTGAAGAATGAATCTTCACCGGGGCTATCGTGCCGTGTAGATGGTTCCGTCAAAAATAATCGATTCATTTGCTACGGGTTATCAACACTTTACAGGTTATTTATAGCCAGATATTTATAATAATATTTTTATATTTTTATTATAAACTAATAGTTTCGTGATACAAGTCTTACTAATTACCGCATAGCTGGATGGAGAGAAGAGGGGGATTCATACTTTTACAAAGGGTATTTGCGCGTAAAGGGATATAACGAACCCAACGGGAATTGGAACTCGGCTCTCTGATTAACAATTCCGAGCCATTATCAATTACACCATTTGCACATTCAAGTTTGCAGTATGTGGTATTTTCAAGCGGGCACCCATCTCGATTTCATGCCTGGGCTCGATGTTGCCTAACTTCGCTGATCGTACAAGAACCGATGTTTTAAAGTGAGGTGGCCGTAAGGCACTCAAAAATGAGTTCGATTAGTAATAATTTTCTTTCTTTCTTTCTTTCTTTCTTTCTTTCTTTCTTTCTTTCTTTCAAGAGTTGCTGGCTGAAATCGAAGTAACATGAATAATTTAAAAAATTATAAAAATCTACGACAGTCATGGAAAATTTTTGCCATTTGAACGCATTGTTCCGTTTTAATTCATTTAGTGAGATATGCATCATTATTGTCCCATTCTTTCATCATACGCATCTTTTTTCCTGTTTTTACATGTCTATGTGCCTCTGTATGTTTGACAAAGTTGAAGTTTTAGTAGTGGAGGATAAAAAACGACAAAGATAGGAACAAAAATAGATATGAACATAGATAGATAGATAGATAGATAGATAGATAGATAGATAGGTTTGATTAAAGATAGATAGATAGATAGATAGATAGATAGATAGATAGATAGATAGATAGATAGGTTTGATTAAAGATAGATAGATAGATAGATAGATAGATAGATAGATAGAGATAGATAGATAGATAGGTTTGATTAAAGATAGATAGATAGGTTTGATTAAAGATAGATAGATAGATAGATAGGTTTGATTAAAGATAGATAGATAGATAGGTTTGATTAAAGATAGATAGATAGATAGATAGATAGATAGATAGATAGATAGATAGATAGGAACAAAATTAGAAACTGAAAGATAGACATTTAGGAGGAAACATAGGCGTGAGTATAGATAAATTGATAAATAAACATGTACCTAGCTAGCTAGCTAGCTAGCTAGCTACAAAGATATGACTAGACATAGATAAGAACAGATTGGTAGATATGCATCATCTATCAAAAAATTAGTTCGCCAAACGAAAAAGGATATAAGATTAATCGGCCACCACCTTCTTCGAAATGAATTGATTGTAAAAGTTTTGGAGTGAATGAGATTTAACTAGTCCAAGATCCAGTATTGACAATGCAACAGTTTTGCAATGAAAAAGGATTGAGCGAATATGAACCCAAGATCCAGTGGTCAATGCAACATTAACAAAGAGGATCTTTTAATAGAAGCAGAGTTTGTTCTACTATATGATATATTTGATAACACCAATTTGGTTTGTACGGAACGCGACCAAAACTCTTGTAAGCAGAAATCTGTATTTGGTCAGTTATGACTTGGCACAACGTCAGTGAGACCAACTGGATACCAACGACAAGGTTGCATTTACTTTTTTTTTTTTTTAGTTTTGGTTTATGGATCTGTGAAAGAATTTCAAATTCTTGTCTAGGAATTTTTTTCTTTTAATCATGTTTTACAAGATGGAATCAATAAATCTTCGGCCGGTCAGTTCAGATAACGTTTGTTGGTACGCGTTAGAAAATCTCGGTTGCTAGATCCCCCATAAAAGCAGGTTGCTATGACAGCAGTCGCAGATTACCAGCTCCTGACTAACAGGTAAGTCAGCTTAAGGGCAGTGAGTGTCTTCTGTCTACTGATAAAGAGACGGCAATGTGTTTGGCCTCAATCTACGATTGGCTGCTTTAGTTCAAATGATATTTCGTCCCATTTCTTGTCAATTTGTAACAACATCAGTTCTTATGGGACCAATATAGTGAGACAATAACATTCTTGGTCTGTAATAAAATGTATAGCTTCTTTTTCTATGTGACGTGTTCCTCCATGGTGTGGGCAATCACGGCTCTTCACAACTTCTCGCCTTTTGTATCTCTAAATAATTTTTCTGATTGTAATCTCTTCTCAACCTTGTTCAGACAACCATTTACACTCGCTGGTTTGGTAGATTATGCGTAGCTTTCCCTAGTGTCTCTCTTGCCTGTAATATCGGAACAAACTTAGATATGATCAGAGATAGACTGATAGATATGAAAAAATATATGAAAGAAATTTTAAAAATATAATATAATTGAAATATTACTTTAAAACATTCTAATAGACAGACCCTAGATTTATTTCATGAATATCATTGCTGGCACGTTATGTAGTGATTTGGACAAAGGACTAAGTTTCAATTTTTCTACAGTATATTTTCTTGAAGTTCTCAAATACTGATAGCCTACCGTTAATGCAGTCAGTTCTTCAGACCCTCCTGTTGTTTTTGATGTGATCGGAAGGACTCAAGTTAGAATATTCGGGCAAATAACGCCTATTTCTCTGGTTGAGATTTTCGTTATAAATCAACCTCTAAGGGAACTAAGTACAATGAAGACGCGTGCGCGTGTTATAATTCTACGCAATAATCACTTCGTTCACAAATGCAATGAAATTTCAGTTAAAATGAAATGTAAACATGATGATTAATAATAATAATGATAATAATAATAATAATAATGGCCGATACCGTAATGGATACTCTAAACTTTAATGGACTTGTAACTTATCACCAGGAAAAAAAAGCAATCAAATAAATTGCAGTATTTCTGTCAAGTGAAATCTTCTCACATGTTCAGCTACGCGCAACGTTGTCAAGAATTGGGAAAAAGCAAATTTGAAAATCTTGGCACTTGAAGATAAAAACGGAATAAGATTGATAATTGACTCAACGAAGAAATTATTTTGTAATTGAAAATTTATTCAGCAATACTTTTTTTTATTTTCTTAGAATAATAATAAAAAATAATAGATTTAGACTGAGATGATTCACTTTGTTGAAGAAATGAAAGGGGTGTCAGTCTCCAATAGGATTTAGAACATTGAATATTGCTGATCTGGTGCTCTGATTATATATCTCGAGATTCTAGACAAAACCCCCAAAAGGGGTCTGTAATGTTATTGGTCCTATATTTTCATGGCATTTCTTTTGATGATCATTCTTCATTGGCCCCTTCGCATGAAATTAAGTACTACGCCGAATGTTTATGGAGAACTCAAGAGGATAAAATTCATAAGTTTCTTAAAATTTTATATGTTCATTTACCGAAACATTTTATTAAAATATTCTGAAATTGAGTCTGCTTATGTTTTTGAGATTGTGCAAGAGACTTGAATTCCCCTTAAATGGAATTACAGAACCACAAACAAGGAACTGTACCAAATAACAGAAGGCACATTTCTTGAAGATTTTCAGTAATATCAACAAATAAAACGGATTTCGTATGTAATTCGAAGAAAGAATATTGACATAATCAAGATAATGACATTCCATAATACTTGAAACAAAAGGTAAAGAGCAATAACCGTTATTAGACTCGGGAAACCTATTTTGCTGAAAAAAATTTTTTAATAGAAAGATTTTATAAATTCTAACCGAAAGTAAAACTGACTGCTCGATCAATGAATACCGAGTCTTTCCTCATAAGTAAACGGCTATTATTAACATTACTATTATTATATCTGTTTATATTTCTGGGATGAGGTATTGTACTTATTTACATTATTTACATGGTTCGGACTGTTGTTCTCATCTTTATTGTCATATTCACAATAAAAATGCGGACAACAGTCTGAACAATATTATTATTATGTCACAATGATAAGTCAATAGTTATTTTCAAGTTTTCTGCAAGTTAATTTTGTTCCATGTATTTTACAAGCATTGTGCTAACATTACAACGTGTAAGAAGGCACGGTGGAGTAATGGATAGCGGCTCGGTTTGAGGAATTGGAGATTCGAATTCCACTGGAATCCCTTACATTCACTTACGTGCTAATACCCTTGTATGAAACCTCTTCTATGGGTAAGTAGCCTCGGGTGGCTTCTGGTCTACCTCAAAAAGAAACCCCAACCTACTGCGGGAAAAATCTGTTTTGTCAGTCATGTATCGATTAATCACCTAAGTGTGTATCACGCATGGCATTTATTTATTATTATCTCCATTTTCCTGATCATAAAACCTTCTATTTTGACTCACGCATATTCTGCTTTTATAACATTTCGTAATTATAGCATTTTAGTACTGAGTCGTCATATCTTAACTGGTCATTTTCATAAAATTTTACATGTTAATTTAATGTTTTATTGTTATTATTATTATTATTATTATTAATTATATTATTCATTTTTAATTTTGTATGAGTCATAACGGATCTTTCTATTTAGTCTCCATCAGAGAAGCCAGGTGCAGAGGTGACCTAAAAGATGGCCTCCCTGCCGTCCCACGGGATCGGCCCAGATGCATAAGGGTTGCAAGCATAGGAAAGTTCCACATGACAGAAATAGATATATAAAGACCCACCCAAGCGGTAAAATAATCTCTCTCGGACATCGCATACAAAATATAATGTCTAGGTTTGGATGAGGGTTTGTAGCGGCAAACACATTGACCGACTGTAATGGATGAAATGGAAGAACATGCAATGTTATGCATGTGATATTCACCCCCCGCCTGCTTTTATTAATTGGCATAACAACTCCATTACATGGAGATACCATGTCTATTTTCAATATTTACAATCCAAACAAAAACCCTAAAAATTTCTTTAAAATATTTCATAATTTCCTAACTACAATTTTTAAAGACCTATATTGGTTTCTTCGCTCACATCTTAATCAACTATTATTCTCCGTGCGTATAAACGTTGGCGGCAATGCCTGGGGTCCACAGCAACTGCATAGCCAAATTCTTCTCATTTGTTCCAATGACACAACTAAAGAAAAGAAGCCCTTCTTTAATTATGTCTGATTTTAATTTCATACCTTGGTCTTGAAATCCAGCAACACAACTGCAATTGACTATCAATACCTTATTTTGCATAAAGAAAACGAATGCTTGTCGTATTATCACTAACTTTTACGCATTCCAGACTGGTTGGTGGAACGAATTATTACTTACTAGACGAGACTCACGATCAGTTTTTAATGAGAATTTAACGTTAGTATATCGTAATCCGAAAGGTAATTTTCCAGTGTCCATCTCGCGATAATGTCAAATATTTCTGGATTAAGTTATTAAGCCTTGGAGATATTTTGTCGCTTGGTAACGAAGTTGACCAAGTAGTTCAATATTTTCTGACTTTTCGGTCAATCAATTTTATTTCGAAATATTGATAACCTCGGATTTTTAGATGACATCTGTGTAACCAAATCGTCGAGGTCCATTGATATCCCACACCCACATAATCGCAAGTTGATATTATAAGCTTTTCCATTGTACGTAGGCGTGTACTTGCGTAATTGTAGAAATGACATCGTCGCATAAGTTTTTCAGGCTAATTTCTTTGAGTATAGCGGATTTTATAAGAATAGGAAATTTCTAACTATTAAAGAAAACTATGAAACACCGATAAAACAATCATAAGACAGTTCTGCTTGTTGGCTAATATAGTTGCGAAATTCCCAGCGTGGTCAGTGTTCGATACCATGTAAAAGCTAGATTTTTAAAATGGTTACGTGGTCTCAACTAGGAAGATTGACGAAAAATCGTCTTCCTACTGGCATTTTTTCTTTACATGGCCTTGTACTATACTAGGTTTAGTTAACTAAACTCTGCAAAGGAAATTAGAGTGAGTGTGGTAAAATGCAGAATCTAACTTGACCTAATTTCGAATGTCAACCCGAGCCATTGTGGTTAGGTTCGCTACCGGAATTTCTTCAGTGATTATCCCGAAATGATTTTGTTGTTGCTGAAAAGTTATTATGATTGTCTATAGCATTTTGAAAAAGAAATAATCTAAGTCTTCGATATTAAGAGGATTATTTGTTTGTTCTATCTCCTTACCACCTATTACGAACTTCGTAGATCGCAAAACCAGTCGGTATATGTATATTTACCTGCGGAATGCCTCTAAATGGGCTTTGCTGACGACACTTTGTCAAATATTAATTATTTTATCTCCGTTGGACACCTTAGGCCAAGATGATTACAATGTTGGGCATTATATTAAGAATGAGTATATTTATGCTATAAGATATGACGCCATATTTGCTTACTATTATTAGAGAATTTTCACACGTGAGTCTTTAAATACATATTTTCATTTCAATTATTATAACTTACTCACTTGCACATCTATATATTTATATATATATCTGCACACTCCTATTCTTGCGTCTCATTCAAATTTCAAAATCCTCCTTCGGCCATAATTTTCACAGCATAAGATATACAGATGACTCAATGTTGATAGCAGAGACAAAAAGAAAACTACAAAAAAATAAATAAATCAAAAATAAAATAAAATAAAATAAATAAAAAATAAAATAAAATAAAATAAAAACACTTCTACAGGAGGTAATGAAGGATTGGTTTCGTTTGGTTGGTTTTACGTCATATCAACCTCAACGGGTTATTTACTGCGTACAAGATTTTATTGCTGGTAATATTTTTCCAAAAATATATTGCTGTTAATATTTTTTTCTTCAAAAATGTATCGCTAATAATAATTATTTACAAAAATGTATTGCTGATAATATTTTTCCTAAAAATGTATTACTGATAATATTTTTTCATCAAAATATTTATTGCTAGTATTAAAACTTATTTTTACACTTTCATATTATTTTGACTCCAGTTTGAGGTTTAACTATTTGCCCATAGCTGGAATCCTAACAGGTGCTACCACCCCGGGTCAGGGCGGACCTGTGAACACCAGCAATTAAGAGGTGGTTCCACGCTCCTCAAAACCTCCTGATCAGAGTCCTTGCTGTTGGATGTAGTTTATCGTCATATCCAGAACGCGGATGTAGTTTATTGTCATACACAGGACGAGAAGAAAAACATTGAGCATTCTACCTCAAAAGCTTTTGTAAATCACTGGGAGAACAGAAACTTGGAGAAGGAAAAAACAAGGACGTTTATTCAAACACGTGTAACCTTTGACGTTTAAAGAAATAAGATATCTATTTCTTTCTCCCCCCCTCTCTCGCTCTCTCATTACCTATCTCTCCCCAATATATATATATATATATATATATATATATCTGTAATCCACATGTAAAATAAGATTAAATATAATGGAAGCCCTAATAGTAAAAAAAAAGAAAAAACAACTCTTAACCATATTAACTACGAATTAGGTCACAATATGCTAACCGTGTTCGCAAAATAAAACATCTCTATAACACACTAAAAACATACACGTAATGCACACACTCAATTAAACTGAAAAAATAAAATCATCCTTGACAATGCCTAAAACTATAGCCAAAAGCGCTCGGAACTATAGAACATTTCGACAGTTTCTACACACTCTGTGTTCAAAAAAGAAAGCTCTTGTTCGAAAACAAGAAAAATTAAATGAAAAGCTTAACCGTAGGACCTTGTCTGTCATTTTTAATGAAACACGCATAAATGATGGATTGCTGCCTAAATACACAATATATATATATATATATATATATATATATATATATATATATATATATATATATATGTAAGCAAATGTAGATGGATATAGATCCGACAGAATGAAGAAAATTTGGAAAAAACAAACAAAAAAAAAAATTCAGTTATCTGTTTTGGATAAGACTTGTTTTTATGTCCATCGTCTTTGTCAAATTGAACTGAATTGTATTTTAATGAATATTGTCCTGAAGAAGGTTTATTAAACCGAAACGTCAGACGTCGACATTTCATTCATTTTAAACAACATAATTGCATTTAAGGATTTTTGTTTGTTTTTTCCAAATTTTTTCTTCATATATATATATATATATATATATATATATATATAGGTTAGCATTTCGGTCCCACCCTTTTACTGTCGAAACAGTTAATTGTAAGCATCTCTTCTACTCCAACAGCCTCTTCTCTCGCACTTCCCGACAGAGAAACTCGCATCCTCTGCTTCCCTGATAACTATAATCTTCAAAAATTTAAATGTAATGTCAATCGACATCTTCTGACGCCTTGATCTTGATCCTTGTCCTTCTCTTTCTTCTTTCATCATCAAGCACATCTCTTTACCCTTACTTTCACTCCCTGTAACCACTTGCTAGTGGCATTCACGCCTTGCTTGGGGTGAAATGCTTAACACACACACACACACATACATATATATATATATATATTAATTATGAAATGGATTAATTCCGACAATTATTATAATATATTTTCCATTTATACTTTATTTTTACAGATATGATTTATTTGAGTAAATGCTCTGTTTTTAATTAAACAGTATTACATTTCCTGGCGTGTTCGAGAAATTTCATAGAAAATATGTGCTTCCCCGACCGGAATCGAACCTGTAACCCTTAATGGGAAACATCATTTGATCTAATGGGAACCATCATCGATTCTTTGTGGCTGAATGGTTCCCATTAGATCAAGCGACTATTCCCATTAATGGTTACAGGTTCGATTCCTGTCGGAGAAGCATATATTCTCTACAAAATTTCTCAAACATTCAGGTCAATAAATGTAATTAATACTGTTTAATTAAAAAAACAGTGCATTTACTTAATTAATTTATAAAAATAACGTATAAACGGAATAGAAAGAAAGAAAGAAAGAAAGAAAGAAAGAAAGACAGACTTTTTTTAAATATTGGTTTTATGAACTTATCACTTATACTGATGAAAGTTTTTTTTTTCTGATTGTTCGTGTTCGTCTGTGCGTTTGCGCGCATCTGACCATCCGCTGGTCAGTGAAGATGTGTATCGCACGCGTGCGCGCGTGCGCGCGTGCGCGCGTGCACCCGACTGCGGGATGTGTATACGTGTTTTTTCCTTCGATTTTTTTCACTTCTTTTCTCTTTTCCTCCTTTCCTTCGATGGTAGCCATTTGTGGCCATTTATTATGTTCTCTAGACATGCCACCGTTTTTAATTTTTGATTTTTGAGAATTCTTGCCTTTTTAGGCTAGGAAAGTTCTATTTCGTTTTTTACATAGATAATTGATTAATGGTTAAATTATAAATATTACACACGCACACACACGCGCGCACACACACACATATATATATATATTAATGCTTAAATGATAAATATAATAAATATACAAATGTGCAAGGGAAAAGACACACACACAAACAGTAAAAATATAAGCTGAAGGTTAATATGAGCAAAAATCTTAAAATATAAAATAAACTAAAGGTTCAATACCAAAGTTGACATAGCTTAAATATATCATAATAATATTATTAATTCAATAATATCATAATCCGCCACTCAGTTTTATGCGTAATGAAACTTTGAGTCACGAATTTTATATCATTGTATATATATATATATATATATATATATATATATATATATATATATATATATATATATATATATATATATATATATATATATATATATATATATATATATATATATTCCTATGGTGTTGAAAAGACAGACGACCAGATTTATCGTCTGCCGAAATAGCCTATTCCCTGCATGAGGTAAAAAATAATTTTTTTTGGATTATTCATCATATTGCTCTGTACAAAGAAAATACATCGATCTCTTTTTGTGAATCAATTTTAATATTTTTAATATTATACACACACAGAATTTATTTACCTTTTCTTTTCTCTCTCTCTCTCTCTCTATATATATATATATATATATATATATATATATATATATATATATATATATATATATATTGGTACCTCCATGAGATCGCTAAAAAGAGAAGAGCATAGCATGATGAAAAAAAAAACGTCAAACTTGACGAAAACAAAATTTTATCGTCTAAATGTTTATGTTATTATGAAGAGCAAAGACCAAAGTATTTTTTAATCATTTTAAAATGTTTTTCTTCTTTTTAAAACATTCTAAATTTTGATTAAAAAAACCTTGTTTCTCTTCGTATCACCGGAACTAGTAAAATAACATATACAATTTTTAGCACGTTTTTTTTTATGTTTTTTTTTTTTTTTGTATGAGACATTAATTTTGAAAATCTTGCAAAAATAAAATTGATTGTCGGATGTTAATGAAACTTTCAGAAACTAAAATTGGATTCCCCCTACCTGAAAATGCGCTCTGAATTGTAACATACAAAACTCAATAAAACAAAAATGTTATTTAATTTCATATGCTTTTATTTGCTTTTACTTGTTTTTATGAATATGGACAATATTTTTTGATAGCAAAAGTTTTTTCGATGAAAAATGAATTTTTAATACAATTATTTGTTATTTTTTAATTATAATATATTTTTGCATTTAAGTGTTAAAAAATTAGTTAAAAGCTGCATCAGCTTTCCTAAGTGTCCTTATGAGATATGTCTTTTTTTAGCGCGTTGTAAATTGTATCGTTTTGACTAATCAGAAGATCCGCAGTAATTAAGAAATGTAATTTTGTGTTTATAATAGAGCTGTAATTATAAAGTACGGAAGACCAACCAGAATACAATTAAGTTGCTTTATTTGAGTTAAGCATTGTTCTCCGCTGTTAAGGCCTTTACTTTTGCGAAACACGTGTGGAGAAGTTAATTTGATTTTTCAATTTCAAATGAGAAGGGTACCTACAAGTATCAGTATCATCTTATGAAATTTATATGATCTTATTTTTATATTACTCTCAGTTTTGACATTTTTCCATAAATGAAATATCAAAATTAATAATAAAATGAATGGAAATACAAATAACACAGTAAACTGTAATAAATATACATAAAATTATAGTATTTTATGTAAACTTCTGATAAAATTTTATAAGAAAGGTACCTATAAATTAATTAGATACCTTTCTTATGAAATTTAATCTCACTCTTAACAGTCTTATTTTTTAATTTCTTTATAATATATTTTCGATAAAGCACCGTAAACGTAAAGGTGAAAGCTAAGTATAAAAAAAAAAATTAGAGCGCTGAAAGTTTTCCTCAAAAATAACGAGATAAATAATTTGTTCACTTAAATCTAAATAACTTCACTTCTCTCCATTCGTAGAAGCAATTATCCTCCCGTAAGTTATCTAAACATCATGAAAATGTCTTTCGTCACCTGTCAAGTGACGCAAAAGGTTAGGACCTGCTTTGTTTTATTTTCAAATTACATCTTTTCGACGCAGAAGCTAAGTTATGCTTGGTTCAAAATATTTTAAATAAACATAATTTCTGATTTTCTTGAAATAAGTTTTGTAAAAAATGATAATTGATTTTTAAAAGAATTTCAAAGTGAGATTTTTATTTTTTTATAAAATGGAAAAAAAAGGGTTGCCATGACTGATTATCTACCAATTTTGATGACTAAAAGAAAAACAAGATTTTAACGAAAATTTCGGATGTGCTAGGAATGATAAAAAAATGTAAAAAATACCCCCCCAAATACTTTGATCTTTCTAATTAATAAAGACATGAACATTTAGACGATTAAATTTTGTTTTCGTCAAGTTTGGCATCTTTTTCATCATGCTCTGCTCTTTTTTTAGCGATCTCATGGAGTTACATATAATATATATATATATATATATATATATATATATATATATATATATATATATATATATGTGTGTGTGTGTGTGTGTGTGTGTGTGTGTTCACTTATATGCTCTATAATAAAAATTATATCGAGCTCTCTTTTGTGAATCAGTTTTAATATTTTACAGTGGCCTAAGAAAAGTTTTTAGCCAGAAGAAATAAATTACATACAATTTCAATATTTAATTACGTAATCCCTACTCAACATAAATAAACAGTATTTGGAACTAATATAGAGTAGGTCATCCATTTGATAGTTTCACTGCTTGTATTCGATTTTTCATGGATTTGATCAAGTTATCAACAATTGTCTGATCCATATTTAGCAATGTTTCTTTAAGGCTTGTCGCTAACATGATTTTGGTTGCCTGCTCTCGAAGTTTTCAGTGAAGGTGCTCCCAAACGTGCTCCATAGGATTATATCAGAACTTTAGGCTACCTATAGCAGTGACTTGATTCCTTGCGATTTCTTTCAGGCCTTTGCTACCTTACTCTCATGACATGGCGCTTCGTCTTCTTGATAAAAGTAGTCATTCTTGTCAATCTGATTGGTTTCAAATAGTGGGAGTAGTCCTTTCTCTAATATTTGACAGTATTTTGGACCATTAAACCACTCATCAACAAGAATCAGCCCAGATTTCCCTCCAAACCAGACAGCACCCAACACTATTACTCCACCCCTCCATGTTTCACGGTTGACTGCAGACATTCAGTGATCCAAGTCTCATTCTGATTTCTCCAAACATAAACCTGTCTCGAATTCGAATATTGGCAGAATTTACTTTCATCTTTACAAAGTATAGACTTCCAAAATTCATAATCTTTGCTCTCGAATTCTCTCGCTCAATCCATACGCCTGTTCCTGTTAACCTCTGAAATCAAGGGTTTCTTTCTTGCAAAGCCTAGTTCTTTCAGAGTCTTTCTTACCGCATATGGCGACATTTCCATGCTGTTGGCGACATCTTTGACGCTCTGACGACGGTTTTTCATGACGTCCCTCTTCAGAGCCCCTTTCGTTCACTCAGACACAATACTTGGCCTTCCTGAACACTGTTCCACGTGACAATGGCCTTTTTCATTAAATTTCTTGACAATATTATTAACTGTTTGATGATTAACCTGGAAAAACCTAGCAATTTCTCTATTTGACTTGTCACACTAATGCCATCCTATTATTTGCCCGCGTTGAAATTAACTAATTTCTTTACTTCCACGAACTTTCATTGCAAAATATAAGTCAACTATCGTTCATAGCTGAGAGTAGATTGATACTAACACGGTATTGCCTGAAAAAAAGAAGAAAAAAAAGAAGAAGAAAATACGTTATTACACAAGTCAAAATTGCTGTAATTACGGGTGGCTAAAAATTTATAGCTCCCTGTATATTAATAGGATCTACTTGGATTACTTACCCACGGATTTATTATATATATATATATATATATATATATATATATATATATACTCCAGGCCTAAAGATTGCGTTTAAGCATGAAACTGACTTTCGCCGCTGGGAGTTGATCTCGATGTCCACTTTTATATTTACATATGCTCTATTCCGGATATTGAGTACTTTAAACCTTAAATATAGTATGCCTTAAAATTATATTTTTATCATATATAATAAATATACTGTTTAATAAATAAATGGAGAATCTATTGAAATACGAGTATCCACTAAAAATAACGTTTAAAGTGATAAAAAAAATCTGTCAGATAAAAAAAGCAAACAATCATTCTAAAATTCTTTTTGTTTACGCTTGCATACGAAACTGTGCAGATATGAAAAACTTCGAGAGATTTTATGACGAGAGAAAGATCGCTTGAAGGTAGTAAAGTTGACATCGCCTGATCAACTGCTCTTCGTGGCCCAGTTTGTTAGGGCGTGCCGGGCTTAACGGTAGCTACCTCTACAGAATAGCTCAAGTCTTGCTTTAATAGGATTTCTCGAACATTCAGACTGGTGGACGAAAATAAATGAATATACTGCTTAATAAATACGAATATCCACTAAAAATAACGTTTAAAATATATATATATATATATATATATATATATATATATATATATATATATATGCATTCATACAACTGTGAGGTACACCGAAAGGTAAATAGTTAGTTTCGAAAATGTTGCGAGTTCAACTCACACTTAAAATCTTACTATCATGGCCCTGTGACCCATAATATTAAGTAAACAGTTTAAGACCGG